TGTAAAAACGTTGTACAACTTTGTAAACTTTGTAAAAACTTTGAAAACTTTGTAAACACTTTGTGAGACTTTGTAGACTCCGTAAAAATTGAAAAACTGTGAAAATTCCGAACTTTGCAAGAACTTTGTCAAATTCCAAAGCTTTCTAAAATCGTTGTAAACTTTCAATGCTGTGCAAAAACTCTGTAAACTGTATAAACTTTGCAACTTTTGTGAAAGCCTTGTAAACTATGTAAAGTTTGCAAATGTTTGTACACTTTGAAAAAACTCCATGTAAAATTGTAAAATTTGCAATCTGTGTAAAGATTGTATAAACTTTGTACAAACTTTGTAAACTTTCAAAACTTTGCAAAACTGTGTAAACTTTGTAAAAACTTTGTCAACATTGCAGCAACATTGTAAAACTTTCAATACGTCTTTAATTGATTTTTTAATGGTAAATAAAACCTTTGTAAACTGGGTAAACTTTGGAAATTGTTCAAAACTTTGCAAACTGTGTAAAAATATTGTAAACTTTGTAAAACTTTGTAAACTTGGTAAACGGTTGTAAAACTTTGCAAACTTCATAAAATCTGTGTAAAACTTTGTAAACTTTGTCAACACTTTGTAGACTTTGTAAAACATGTTTAAACTTTGTAAGCTTTGTCAACCTTTAAACTTGTAAAACTGTGTAAGAACTTGGTAAAACTTTATTAAGACGATGTAAAATTCGCAAACTTTGTAAAAGGGTTTACAAACCTTTTACGAAGTTTTGGAGTTCTTCAAATTATTCTTCAAAGTTAGAGCAACGATTTACACAGTTTTTAGAACGTTTACAAAGTTTTGTATTTTTACAAAGTTATACAAAGTTTACAAAACTTTCACAAAGTCTTAAGAATTTGTACAAAGTTTGCAACTTTTGCAAGGAGTTGACAGAGTTGTTGAATTACAAACAAACTTACAAAGGTTTACAACGTCTACAAAGCTTTTACCACGGGCCGTTCACTCACCACTCACGAGACAAACAAACCTATGAAATAGTCCTTTGGGTCTCGTATGTTGCCACTAACAACGCCAAAAAAAAAAAAAAAAAAAACAAGACGTGTTTTATACCCTCTCTTAGTTCTGAACAACCAATTCTTCAGAGGTCCGCAAGGGTCAAAAGCACTTCTTCTGCGCTAATTCCCCCGAAGCAACGAACGACGGTCCCCAAGCAACTTAACACCAACAGGCGCTGCACTGGAACACATGATATAACCCACCATACGTCAAACACTTGACAATCAAGTCCATGCTAAGCTCATCGTCCCATTCCTGTGTCGATAACGAATCTACAATATCTATCCCATCACCCATCCTATCCCATCACAGGATTCTCACACTACATATATATATATATACACCTATATCTATAACATTCTATAAAATGTGCATGTGTGTGTGTCTCCACCATGGCATTCCCATCAGATCCTCAGTCTCTTCCCATCCCGCCATCTCGCTTGCTCTCCTCATGATCCTCATGATCTTGGACCCTCCGCTCCCCCTCTCTCTCCACCCCAGTGTCCCGATCAGAATGATGTAGGGGCAGTTCAGGTCACTGGGCGCCGCCAACGTGCCCGTGGTCGTCCCATCGATGCCGGCGCTGACCTTCGCCGTGCGGAGCGTTTTCTTCCGGCGGCTCGGCCGAGGGGAGCGGGTCGGATCTTCGTGTGGTTGGATCTTGGGAAGATCGAGTTGAGGGGGAAGGATGTGTTGGAATATCATATATACATATACAAGAACACTACTCAAGAAGGTAAAGGATCAGTGTTTATCGAATCTTTGGACTTGTAGGGCTATAATGATTTGCATGATGCTCTTTGTTTGACTCTTGAGATGAATACCCGCATGTCTCTGGAAATGATAGTGTTTTTGGCTCCACCCCAAAACCAGGGCGTTCCTCTTTAGGGAAACTCTTCTGATTTTATTTGGGGAGGGAAGACAGAGATCACAGGGTGTTGATCACAGAACTTCCTCAAGAGCTTACCAAAGAGTTTCTTGGTCTTTGCAAGTGTGATGTATCTAGGGACATGTTGGCTCTTTGGTGGTGCAGAATTCTTGATAGCGGCATTCCAATCAAAGGGTGAGCTGTCGCCGGACCTGGGTGCCGTGGGGGTCAATCAGCGGACGCCAGCTAGGTCTTTCTGATTGGCCATCCCAGGTATCCCATCCACATGGAACCTCATCGAGATGTGGAGCGCTCCCTTTGGTTCCAGAGCGCTGAAGACCACCCCGCAAAGGTCCCGTCCCTGTCCCCCCCCGTCGGTGGCCACCTGCACCACCCCTAAGTCTCACCACTTCGTCGTGGAGGCCCTTCTCCGCCGCCGATTCCCAGACTTCCGAGGCCGGGCGGGAGGGTACGGAGAAGGAAGGTTTCATGGCAGGACTGAGGCGCATTGAGGCTGATGCTGGTCAAGGACATCGCACCCACCAACAACAGGGCGATGCCTGGGCGGGAGATGGGGCCCATGGAGTGGTGGGATCCCCAGTGTATATACATACCCAGAGCCTCAGTGACCTGGTCATGCATTTGGATCCCCATTTGTCCATTCGTGGGGACATTTTTCCTATCAAAGACAAAGGTCACTCAGGCTCCAGGAGGCTCTGTGGGGATTCTGGTGAGCTTTGGCATAGAAGCTCAACTACCACCACCCTGGAGCATTGGAATGACCCCGCTGGGCTAGCGAGACATCCAAAGTTTATCCAAGTTTTCAAGAATATACAGCACCAGGACCCCCATAAGCGGTTTCTATTGATAGCCCTTTGGAGGTGATTCGAGGTGTCCATGAACCACCCCGACCGTGGGTCCACCGCCCGTGTGGGCGCGCGCCTGCAATGGTCAGAAGCAGGCCCAAGCCCACAGACACCTGCAGATTCATCACCATCGAATTCGCCCCAATTGGCCCGTCAATTGGCCGATCTTAGCCGATCCCCTTCTTCTCAGGTCGCCTTTCTCCCATTCTTCTCCAGAAAGAAGGAACACCAGCCTGCTCTTTTTTCCTCAAAAAGCCGCCGCTGGTTTTGTGGCTCGGCTGACGCGTCCACCCCCCAAAAGCAAAAACCGCAGGACGCCTTGGAGCAGGTCTTTCCACAGCGGCACATGGCGGTTTTCTCGGGCGAAGGTGCTGTGGGCGGTTTTCGCAGGTCGTCCGAGGTCTTTCCCAACTGCTCAACGGGTCAGGCGGCCGATCGGACAACAAGTCGAGTGGAGCAGCGTAGGCTAGGCGGTGAGGACCAGGTTCTTTGATGTTCTGAAGCTATCCCACTTTTGCCCTCGACTTGAGGGTTTCTACTTGAGGACTTGGAACTTAAAATGACCTGGGATGAGTTCGAGTGACCCTCGTGGATTCTGCCATTTGGGGTGGGCTTTCCACCGGCCCAAAACGCCCAAAACCAGTGGAAGAGCCGAGGTGCCAAAGATGCCGGTCCCCTGGGAGGCATCTGAAAGATGTTCAGCTTCCATGACTGGCTGGTGCGACTCGTAGGGAATAAGGGAATGAGCCACCAATAGAGATTCTATTGGATCCAGCCACCCTCATTCCCTGCGAGTCGCACCAGTCAGATGTGATGTTGTGTGATTTCTTGCATGGTCGGCAATTATAGCAGGACCTCCTAAGGGGTTTCTATTAATAGCCCTTTGGATGTTAAGGGGTGTCCATTAAGCACCCCCTTGTGTCCTGGTAGACTATGCTGGAAGGTGGTTAACTTCCATCCATCCATCCATCCATCCATCCATCCATGCATGCATGCATGCATGCATGCATACATACATACATACATACATTACATTCATTAATACATACATACCTACATACATATATGCAAGTACAATTACAATTACAATACAAATAGTTCCATGAATGTGTATATATATATGTGTGTGTGTGTGCAATATCTATATATATATATACATATATTTATATTTATGTCTATACACCTGGAAGCTGACAAAGATCCTCGTGCGCCCCTTCTCTCACATTAATCCTCTGTGCTCAAGGCCTGCTGCCCATCCCTTCTAAAAGAAGATACACTGACCAAGCCCATCCGAAAAGCAAAGACACCTGTGTTTCAGTCACAGAATCTGAGTTTCCCGTGGCACTGTCGGTTGGATCACCTCTGAAAAAGCCACCGCCTTGCTGGCCTTTAAAACCAAATCCCGACCCCAGCAACCCAGCAGCATGGAAGACTGAAGACTAAAGACTAGTCCTCATGCCATCAACATGCAATAACCACTACGCCCTGGAAGATGAACATGGAACCTGAAAACCATTGAAAACCACTGGCTTGTAGAGGCAAGCCGGTGAAAAATCCGGAAGTGTGAGTAAACCAGACCCAACCAATCAGAACCCTCACATCTTCCATCTCCAAGGGCCGAGCCCGCTCTCTTTTCGGCAAAAGAGGGCCTCCTTCCTCGCACCTACTGGCGGGGTCACCTGGCCTCACTGAATTCCACCGTGCCTCCGCACAAATTGGGGCGGAGTTCCGGTGCAGATTCGCGCCACCCCCCGACGTTGAACGAGATCCAAGTACGGCACAGCCATGGAGTTCGAGCCAAAACCTGTAGATGTTCCAACATCTCTAGGGCAGGACCAAGAGAGGTGGAACGTGACCGGGACCATAGGACCCGTCGCCTGGCGTACCTGTGGGATGGTCGAACGCGAAAAACCAAATGATGATGTTGGGAACTCCAATTGCCAATCTTCCAAGATATGCCAATCCCTGCCAAAATGGGGGGCGGCGCAGGGGGGCGCTTTCGCCCAGCAAAGCCGCCGCACGTGCCGCACGAAGAGTGCGAGCGCGGTCGCACGGGCCGGGCGAGAAACCAGCGCCGTCAAAAACGGTGCTCCCGTGGGTGGTGCGTCGTTGTGCCGTGATCCACGGGATAGAGCTACATCTCATGCGGAGGAGGAAGCTTCCCGTGTACTTCAGCTGTCCCCTTTGCCGGCCCATTGGGCCTCAAAGTAGGCTCCTGGCCTCCCTCCCCCCCACATCGTGTGCTCTTCGAGGTGTGGATAGCACTCTGGCAGCCATCTTCCCTATTTTTGCGGTGGCCTTTCGAAAAGAACCGACGCCAGAGTGTCCACTCCCCAAAGGCCCCAAACGTCTGGAGCCAACGTGTCATGAACGTAGACCGCCAACCTATCACTCTGCGGCAGGTGGAGACCTGGCCTCACTCTCACTCCTTCGCGCAGCAACAGCAGCAGCAGAGGCCAATGAAGAAGGTCACGAGGCCAGCGACCAGGAGCACAGCGCCCGCGGCCACCATGATCTCGGAATGGTTCGACGCGTGTTCTTTTTCGTTCTATCTGCATAGTCGAAATGGGATGGAAGAAAGAAATGGGATGGAAAGGCGACATGAGCCGTGTGAATCTGGACCATGAAAGCCTGCAAAAACATCAGGTGCCAGCATGACAGTCACCTGGTCTTCTGCTGGCCATCATCTGGTCACAAACCTTGCCGGTCACGCCCCAAACAAAGGGTCAGCGGCGCCGAAGCGGGTTCCACCGGGATGCTGACGGGTGACCGGGCCCGGAAAGCCTGGGCGCACCCGTCCCCGGGAAAAACCCTCTGTACTGGTCCTGAACATGAAAACCGCTTGCCAGGACCTGTCTGTCTGAACTACCTGACCCCTAGCCTGAGAGGGAGCTCTATTTGGACCAACCACCCCGAATATGGCCTTTTCATCACCAAACGGGTGTGATGCCTGCACTACCTAGGGATCTCCAGCCAGGACACTGAGAGGATGGTTGAAGCATGAGGCTGAGAACGCCGCAGCAGAACATCCTGGTTTCCCCTCACGAACGTTCTCCGGTTACCTGTTACCAGCCATCCAGCATCCAGTGACCCAATTCTTGATGCGAAGTATCGCATCTTCCTTCCTTTCCTTTCCTTTCCTTTCTTTCCTTTCCTTTCCTTTCCTTTCCTTTCTTTTCCTTTCCTTTCCTTTCCTTTCCTTTCCTTTTCTTTTTCCTTCCCTTCCCTTCCCTTCCCTTCCTTCCTTCCTTCCTTCTGTCCTCTTCCAGTTTCTCCAAGCAGCGATTGCGCGGCCAGCCTGTGCAAAAAGCTCTGAGAAGACATCGCAGAGCTGCATGGACCACATATCCTGCAAATCCGCTCGGGCGTGACAGGGGAAACTCTGGTGTCCTTGTGGCGAGTGGCAATCACCATTTGAGGGAAGGGTGTCGGAAATGGGACATGAGCCATTCCCTGGCAGGGGTGCTACTTAAGAACGTTTGGATGGGGCCGCTACGGGCTGTCTCTTCCCAGCCCCTATTTCCATCCCGGCCGGTGCAGTATTAGGAGTCAGTTCTAGATGGCGCGTCAGCCATGGGACGCCTACCTGTCCATGTTCATCGAGGATTTGATGAAACTCCCCACCTAGAGACCCCACCAATCCATTCCTCACTGCTGCTCACCACCGCATCCCCATCCGCAGCGAAGGTCAACTGCCCCGCATACTTCAAATCCTCGGCATTCGCTTCCGAGCTCACCGGCTGGGCCCATGCACTCCGATTGATCTAGCTACTAGCTAGCCATCTCAAGTGGCCGCCTTGAAAGCTAGACTTCTCATTTCACCATCGCAACAAGCCAGTGGGCGGACTAGAAGGTGTTGACCACATTGGCTAGTGGGAATTGAATTTGAATCGACAAGCACGAATCCCATCTGAAACAGCCTAAGAATTTGAATGTCGTGTCTCTGAAACCACCATAATTCTTCAAGCCGCATCCTCAAACATGCTGGTGATGCCAACAATGTCCTGCATAGTGAGAACTATCTGCATCACCAAAATGCCAGAGAAGGCGCGGCGAAGAAAGACGAACCATGCCCACCAAGGCACGATGAGCTTCGTCTCGGAGGTGCCGATGGTCCAATCCAAGTCCTCCGCGTCGGCAAGTTCACTGCACCTCTCAGAGGGTCACCACCAACCCGCGAAAGCCTGGGGGCACCTGAGGCCCTGAAAGAAACGGCTGCGGATGCAGCGGATGGAAGAGGACCGCTCCGAGGAGTGGGGGCCAAATTCCAGTGGAACACCGTTTTGTCCACTGAACTCGTGATGAGTTCAGGGGAGCCTGAGTCAGATCGTGAAAACGAGGATGGCTTCAACCATGCCACGACTCCCCTGAGGCATCCCAACTGACCCGCCGGCCCAACCGTTGGCACACGTGTCCCAAGAAACCCGCCGAGTGAAATTCAACATCACCACCACCACCACCACCACCAAATCCGTCATAGTTCAACAGAGGTTGAAGAACCCTATACTGTAGACTATCCCATAGTTGCCCCAGGTGACGGGTCCTATTTACGGTCACTTGACCTCTCTTGGCTTCCAAAACCAAAAGCGACACGTGAAAACCACACCGCGTCCTGCAAGCTGCGCTGCGCCGGCGCGCGCCCCTCGCCATCTTCCGGCAGATCTTCGCTGCCGCAGACGGCGGTGTCCAGGGTGCCTTCGCCCCGACGTGCCCCCGGCGGGAGACCCGTGGAGAGGGGAGAGGAGAATGCTGGGTTCCTTTGGAGGGCCAGGGTATGCCCTGGAAGTACACCCTGGAAGTCCTTTTAGGTGACTCAATTTCGAGCCAAAAAGTGGCCGAAGTGATAGAAGTGAATGGTCCACTGATCGAAAGAATCCGTGATTACGCGGATGGAATGGGAAAGGATGACATGATTTCGCGCACTTGCAATCTCAGGCAGGGTAGGAATCCGTTTTGCCTGGCGATGTGGGAGTGGGGATTCTGCCTGCCACATGGGAGGACCTGGCTTCTTCAGCTGGACGACTATGGATATGGTGGAAGAGCTTCCACCCATACTGAAGAGAACATCATCACATCAGCATTGTCCACATCTACCTGGTGCTACCCCCTCACGAACCAATCGCAGGACCGCATCCAGGGTGATGCACCTGCAGTGGTCGTGGCAGAAGCTTGGAAATCGCTGCAGGCGGAGTCCTGCCTGCAGACGAGATGGAGCGCGGAACCGTCCCATCGCCCACCAACAGGCGCTCCACTGGAACACATGATGCCAACAGAGGTTTTGCAGGACCCGAGTTCGTTCGACTATCCCCGTTGGGTACGCCAGGTGACGGGCCCCCTGATCCCTATTGGTCCCGGTCCCTGTCACCCACCTCTCTTGGTATAAGTCCACCTGATTCAAATCGAGTCGCGATCAGCTCATCCTATCAAGCCGCAAGCCCCAAGAGTGAAGGACCCATCCTATCATCCATCCTATCCAGCTATGATTCTCATCCACCATTTCCAAAGAAACCCCTTTCTATTCCTGTCCTGTCCTGGATCCTCATGATCCTCATGATCCTCATCATCCTCATGATCCTCATGATTCCTCATGATCCTCATGATCTTGGATCCTCACCCTATGCAGTCCGCTCCCCCCTCTCTCTCCACCCCAGTGGCCCGATCAGAATGATGTAGGGGCAGTTCAGGTCGCTGGGCGCCGCCAACGTGCCCGTGGTGCTTCCATCGATGCCGGCACTCACCTCGCCAACGACCGTTTGAGTGGCCGCGGCCGCGGCCGAGCGAGGAAGAGGGATGGAGAGATCACAGGAAGAGGGCCAGGGCGAGGGATCCGGTGGGAATAGATCCGGTAGGATGGCCCTGCACCAGGTGGGGTCCATAAAGCTCACCGACCGAGCTGACCAAAGGACATCCCCGACCGGTGATTGAGAGATTGGGGGGGCGTCGGACTGGTCGAGACGAAGTTGAGATCACCCACCCACCCCAAAATCTGGCCTTGTCCTATCTCCGAAGTCATGTCTGGGCTCTGGGCCTCGAGCAGGGGCGTCTCCTACGACTCTCACGCCCCTCAGACGCACAGATGTTGCCCTAAGATTTCGCTGAGGCACATTCAAGCTGATGTTGGTCAACGACATCGCGCCCACCAACAACAGGGCGATGCCTCACGCGGAATTCCGCGAGTTTTGCGCGGCCGTGAGCGGCGCACCCGTCTACGAAAGTCTAGGAGGCCATCGAAAAATCCCCCGTGGGCGTACTATGAGGAAGCCTAGGAGAATGTCTTTTCATTCTCAACCTTTTCAGTCTTCGGTAATCGGTAATGATGGGCTCTTGATTATGCTTCGACCGCCCCTTTTGAAGAGCTTTTACACTCCCCTTCGGGTGGAGGGGTATGAATCAAGTCTACACCACTCATCAGTCACCCCAAAAAGGGGGGTCTGTGCATCAGCTCTTCATGGCGGGGTGAGCGGGGACGTTCAGATTTAAGGGGCGATGGCGCTGAAAGCTGCCGCAACCTGGTCAGTAGCTTCTTGTTCCGTTCGTAGTAATGCCAGGAGCTACTAGTAACTAGTAACTAGTAGCGTCCGACTGCTCCGTTCGCATCCGGTCGTATCGATGCCCAAAGCTGTGACGTTCGTAGGCGAACATGCCAAAGCCCGCAGGTCACGCCTCTTCTAGTCCCATGAGCCGAGAGCCGAGAGAGCCCGATGCACGCGGGTTCGGAACTTCCCCATGTTGTCTCAAGCGTTCTGCCGGTTTGGGGGGGTCTACTCTCTAAGCATGAACGGAGGAAATGACTCAGAAGTTGCCACTTCAAACCGAAGAAAAGCTGGAGGGCCAACTTCAAACGACAACCACAGGGTATCATGTCAATGCTACTGGTGCAAACCAACAGCGTCATGCAGCATGAAAGCCCAAGCCCCAACACCACATGGCACAAAAGCCCATCGGCTTCACAACGACGCGGAAAGCTCTACCCCACTTTATCGCGCCGTGCTGAACAGTCGAAAACCAGGGGTGGCTGGACCAACAACCAGGGAGCTAAGCGGGAACTTCGAACCCCACAGCAACGGTGGAAATGCATCATGGAACATGGGCTTTGGTCAGCGTGGGGGTGACAACACCAGCATGACCACAAGCAGTGGCGCTGCTTGATTTCTGAGCCTTGCGGCCCCAGAAAGAACTGCCCAGCTTCAAATGGAGGGGGTGCTCCAGTCAGACTCCCCCCCAATCTGCAGGCCTGCAATGGTCAAGAGCAGGCCCAAGCCCACAGACACCTGCTGTGCCCACGTTGCCAGTTGATTCATCAAATCGCGGCCACAAAAGAGTTTTCTGATCGACTTGTATGGACCCAAGGCCTGATGTCAGCCCTTCTCATGAACCCCTTCCTCCAAGACAGTCTCCGACACCTCGGAACTGACTCCGACACCTTGGAACAGGTCTTTCCGCAGCGGCACATGGCGACGGACGAAGGGGCCAGAGGGTGCGTGGGCTGACGTGTCAGGCGGCTCAAATGGCTTGAAAACAGCTGCGGTGGCGCGAAAGCTTCGCAGCTCAGGGGAAAGGAAACTCGATTCAGAATGCTAGGGGTGAGTCCTAGAAAAGCATACACCTCCAAGTTCTAGCTGCCGCCGGCCAAAACGCTTCATCAAAGGTTTACCACACCCCGGCTACCACTTACCACTTCTAGCAGGAGCACGTCCCTCAACAGACATACCACTTGCTACACACTATGCCTCAGAAGGATGCTACTTAACAGCCACTCACCCCTACCAACGTGCCTGCCAGCCCCCCCTGGCTCAGAAACCCCCACCACCCACCGCGCCAGCCACGCCTATGATCGACAGCAGCCCCACCGTGATGGGCACCCAGTAGCGCCTCCGGTGGCCGCAGCCGCACAGCTGCAGCGCTGCAGTCCGGAGGCCTGGACGGGCCGAGACCCCTCCTTTTGCATACTCCCTAGGGATCCAAGTACCTCCTCAGAAGGTACTTGGACCCTCAAAACCCACATAAGAGTGTCTCCAATCACCTTCTGAGAAGGTATTTGGATCCCTAGGGACTATATATGGTCGATATTACCAGGACCTTCCAAGGGGTGCCCAATGGAAGCCCCAGCCCACCACTAAGGGACCTCGAGACAGGACACCCCGAAAGAAGGTCCAGGTATGTATATATATATATATATACCAGGACACCCTAAGGTGCAGGTTGGGCCGTGGATCCCGATCGGCCCCCTTTTTTGGCCAGAGAAGGTCACAAAGAGGGACTGTACTTGATAACCTGGTTGGTTCGGTCACGGTCCCAAGCCTCCGGACACGGGTCACGAAAAGGAACCTTCAAGTTAGGTCACATACTGAAGAAGCTGGTATATATATATATAGAGCACAATAGACACACATGTAACAGTGTATAGATGTGTATATATATATATATACTCATCTATGTTCTCTATATATATATATATATCGAGGTGTGCTGCAAAGAAGTGGACTCCGACGCTGAAGAAGAAAATTGGCTTGCAAAAAACGCTCTGTCGTTGGCGCTGGGGCCGTTAGCCAATGATAACTTGTGGGAGGTAGCTTAAAGATCAAGACAGCCCTGATACAAAACATGAGGGGTTTACCTACACGATCTGTTCAAAATGACCCGTCTGGGCATTTTTTTCAGCATTCTTCTGCGAATTCGCCGCCTTTACTTTTGTCACTGCAAGCCTAGCATATCACCCAAACGCTCCCAAGGTCTATGACCCTGAAAAGTCATGAAGACAGAAAATGTTTAAGGGATTGCTATCAGGCGTGTTCTCAGCCATGTGCCAAGCGGTCTTGGAGAGGCAAAAGCCTGGAAAGAATAGTTATATAATAGCTGGCGATGCTTGGCCCAGATCCATTTGTCCTACTTGGCCTCATATATCAGTCAATTCATGTAGCTAAGAGCCATGGTGTGACAACCAAAGAAGAAACACCGACTCCAA